GGGGTGGGGGAGCTGTGTGTGTGTGTGTGTGTGTGTGCGCGCGCGTGCGCGTGCGTGCACGCACAAGCGTGTGCGCTGTCCTGGTTTCTTATGCCTGATCATCTCTCTCCCTGTCTAGATCCCTCTAGCTGAGATGGAGGCTCTGTCTCTGACGTCAGAGATTGTGTCTGAACCATCCTGCTCTCTAGCTCTGACGGATGACTCTTTGCCTGATGACACTCACACACTCTTACTTAGTGCCCTGGAGAGCAATGTACTTACACACGGCCCCTTACTGCTCCCCCAGCCTCCCCAGGGGCTGGGCTGGCTGCAGGGCTCCAGGTCCCTCCCCTCCTCTCTCTCCCTCTCTCTGCCACCAAGCCCCACCCAGAGGCATTCCCCAGCAGGCGCGCTCCGTGCCCCTGGCATCCCTAGGTCTTTCCAGTTCCCCACTGTGGACAAAGAAATTAGACGAGATTAAATTGGGGTCTCAAGGGCCCAGGGGCACAGTTGTGAAAGAGTTAACCCAGACATCCAGGAGTAACACAGCCCAAAACAGAGGTGGCATCAGGCAGCTAACCATGGGGCCTGCCTGGATGCGGAGTCACTCTCTGTATTTGGAGCCTGTGCAAGCCAGCCCTTCCCCTCCCCGCTCCCCTCCCTCCCCCCTCCTTGCCACATGAGCCATTCCCCCCTCCTCCTAGTGGGTGAAACCTCCATCTCTGCTGCTACCAACCAGCCCTTCTGCCTGGGGAGCTGTCCCTGTCTCCTCTGTCGCTGTCCCTGCGTGTCCCCATGTCCTGGGGGGGGGGCGGTCTTTGTGTTTGGGACAGCTTCTTCACCCCTGCCCAGCTCCCCTTCCCCTTCCAACTGCTAGCAGCTCCCTCCGCCCTGCCTCCCCCCTCCTCTGCTGACTTAAGAGACAGGGGCCCCTTCCTCACAGCAGGACTCAGCTGGGGTCCGGCTTTGACCACAGGCTGGGGGTCCTTAGGGGTCTTGGGGTGACTGGCAGAAGTGGAGCCTGGGCCTGAGAGGGGGAGCAAAGACTCCAGACTCTTCCAACAGCCCCTACTGGGGCTCCTTAACCTGCTGGGCCTGTGTCGGGACACGGCCCTTCCAGCCTCTCTGAGAACTAGGAATGAAGGGTACAGGGGACCCCCAAGGAGGAAGGGGATCACGGGGAGATGGAGAAATCTTTTGGGAACAAACCTTGGCTCCCTCCAGCTGGGGTCAAAGGCCGATTACTGCTTTTCTTTGAAACAAATTAAAAAAACTCACTCCCAACCCCAATCTGCCCAGTAAGGGAGGCCCTGAGTCCGTGGTTTTCAAGGTATGCAGACCTTGCCCCCCACATCTCCCATTTGCCACCTGCCAGGGTCATTGAGTAATCAAAAGGAGGGGGGAGCCAGGTAGGGGAGCCAGCTGACATTCCCCAGTGGTCCCCTGTCACCAAACCCACATTAACTCAGCTCACGCCCAATGCTGGGCCCCGGCGCTGTCTTAAAGCCCTGGGCAGTGAGGCGGTCTCTGCTCTGTAAGCAGGCCCTGCTCAGTGGGTGGGTCCCCCCATTCCCCACCCCACCCCCATAGCCCCAGCACAGGGATAGGGGGGTGCTTTTAGCTTTTTGTCCTCCATCCTCCGCTGTGCAGCTTCAGAGCCTCTTAATGGGGCCCCGGGAACCACCTCTTGAACCACCTGCCAGGCTGGGCCTGGGAGCTGCTCTCCCTTTTTTGGACACCTTCTCCTCCGCCGTCCCCACCGGGAGGCTCGGGGGGGGGGGGTGATGCAGTATGGCAGTATTGGATAGCTTGCTGGGGCAGGGACTCCCCCCACCTGCTTCCTTGCTGTGCTGGAGGGCTCATCCATGTGTCTGCCCCCTTTTTCTCCCACCAACTAACTCATCCCATGACCGCCTTGTCGGGGGAGGGGATGGGGCCCAAGCGGGGGGTGGGGGTGGGGGGTGGCTTCTGGTTTCTGTTGTCCAGCTCTGCCTCAGTTAGCCAATCCGGATGCCCCCTCTTTTTCCTCCCTCCCTCCCCTGTTCCTTTTGCAGATGGAGCCCCACCCCGAGGAGATGCCCCTGGCATTGGGACCAGACCTGCTGACAGTACGGAAGTCTGGGGTCAGCCGGACGCACTCCCTACCCAATGACAGCTACATGTGCCGGGATGGAAGCAGCGCTGAGGGGTCCCTAGGTCGCAGAAGCTGGGGGCTCCCCAAAGCTAAGTCAGGTAGCAGGGCTCAGGCAGGCCGCCTTGGCTCACACAGGGAGACCCCATCTTTGCCTCAGCCCAGTCCTGACCTGGGGGTGGGGGGACACTGAGGCAGCAAGAGAGGTCTCTCTGACCTCCAAGGGACCCCCAGCCCACGGAGAGTGGCTTTCAATCCAGGATGAGAGGTCTGGGGCGGGTAGAGGCGGGGGGGGGGGGGGGGGGGGGGGGGGGGGGGGGGGGGGGGG